TAGAGACAAAACTATACAGTAATCAATTTAATATATAAAATCTATCAATCAATACAATTAGAAAAAACTACGGTTAATAAACGATCAGATCAACAAAGATGTGTGTAACGATGCATAAATATATACCAAGGGGGTATTACACAATGAAATGAGTATTCCAAATTGAGACATTAATTCTATGATTTATGATATCATTGTTGAAGAAGTATCATTGTTTGGAGCAGCCGAATAAGGGTGAGCGAGTATAAACGACAATAAATTTTTAAAATAAAAAAGGAAACAAATTTTTTTTTTGGGGCCCCATGCTCTCCCCAGATCCAATTATGATGATATGTTACTTGAATGTAATATAATGGGTTACTATGTAAATTTTGATTATTAATGAAGATGGTAGTAGCTGTATCAACGAGCCGAGCTGAAAAAAAAGCCCGGGCTCGGCTCGAGCTTTTTTGGGCCTCGAGCCTAGCCCGGCAAAAAAAAAATGAAGCTCGGCCTGAGCTTTCAGCTCGGGTTTTTTTTTCATGTCAAATTTAATTTATTTTTCTTAAAAAATTTGAAATTTGTACAACTTATACGTATTATAAATTTGTACAACTTATACATACAACTTAAAGATTTTTTTTTACGTGTTACACGTAATAGCTATTGAGTGCACGCAGGCAGCTATTTTAGCTGCCTGGGTGCAGCTACAAGCAGACAACTAAAAATGGCTGCCTGCACATGCAGGCAGCTAACGGGTCGGGCCGAGCCGGGCTCGGGTCGACGCGCCCGAGCCGCCCGAGTCAACGAGCTTTTTTGCCATTGCTAGAGAGTAGGCTGCTTAGTTTAGAAGATGGTGTTAGTCGTGAAAGAGTAGCGGGGATGGTTAAGACAGGAGAAATCTAAGCTGACTGGTGGCGAAAATGAAATATTTGTAGACATAAAATGAGGCATTTTTAAGAAATACGGTTCCATCTTTCAAAAATCATATGATTAAATTATTTATTATATATTATTAAATTCAATTAATATACACCTCACTAACCCACTCATTACCAGATTTGAATTTTTAGAGACAGTCCTCTCCCTCCCTACCTCTTCTCTTTCGCGTTGGTTTCGGCAATAGCTCCAACAATGATTCCGGCGATGACGTCGGAATTTTGGGGTGAATTTTTTTTTTTTTGGTTGTTGGTGTTGTGCAAATGTTGATGTTGCCGGAATTCTGTAGTGGTTGTCGGTTCTTCGATTGTTAACTATATATTTACCTGAGATATTGATCCAATGGTCTACAACCAATTCGAGTTTGTGACCAGTTGACAATGATCTGTTACATATAAAATATGACCCGCGATTTGATAATTGTTGTTTATGACTCGTGATATATGTATTGTGGCATGTACATTTGAATTTGTGACTTGTTATCATTGCATAAAGATATGTTACGTTTGATTTGTGACTAGATTAGA